GTAAATGGATTAAATGCTCCCACCAAAAGACATAGACTGGCTGAATGGATACAAAAACAAGACCCATATATATGCTGGCTACAAGAGACCCACTTCAGACCTGGGGACACATACAGACAGAAAGTGAAGGGATAGAAAAAGATATTCCATGCAAATGGAAATCAAAAGAAAGCTGGAGTAGCAATTCTCATATCAGAAAAAATGGACTTTAAAATAAAGACTATTACAAGAGACAAAGAATGACACTATATAATGATCAAGGGATCAATCCAAGAAGAAGATACAGCAATTGTAAATATTTATGCACCCAACATAGGAGCACCTCAATACATAAGGCAAATGCTAACAGCCATAAAAGGGGAAGTCGACAGTAACACAACCATAGTAGGGGACTTTAACTAGGGGACTTTAACACCCCACTTTCACCAATGGACAGTTCATCCAAAATGAAAATAAATAAGGTAACACAAGCTTTAAATGATACATTAAACAAGGTGCACTTAATTGATATTTGTAGGACATTCCATCCAAAAACAACAGAATACACTTTCTCCTTAAGTGCTCATGGAACATTCTCCAGGATAGATCATATCTTGGGTCACAAATCAAGCATTGGTAAATTTAAGAAAATTGGAATCTTATCACATAACTTTTCCAAACACAATGCTATGAGACTAGACATCAATTAAAGGAAAAAAAATCTGTAAAAAATACAAAAACATGGAGGCTAAACAATACACTACTTAATAACCAAGAGATCACTGAAGAAATCAAAGAAATCAAAAAATACCTAGAAACAAATGACAATGATAACACGACGACTCAAAACCTATGGGATGAAGCAAAAGCATTTCTAATAGGGAAGTCTATAGCAATACAATCCTACCTCAAGAAACAACAAACACCTCAAATAAACAACCTAACCTTACACCTAAAGCAATTAGAGAAAGAAAAACAAAAAAAAACCCCGAAGTTAGCAGAAGGAAGGAAATCATAAAGATCAGATCAGAAATAAAAAGAAATAAAGGAAATGATAGCAAAGATCAATAAAACTAAAAGCTGGTTGTTTGAGAAGAAAAACAAAATTGATAATCCGTTAGCCAGGCTCATCAAGAAAAAAAGGAAGAGGACACAAATACAAAATTAGAAATGAAAAAGGAGAAGTAACAACTGACACTGCAGAAATACAAAGGATCATGAGCGATTACAACAAGCAACTATATGTCAATAAAATGGACAACCTGGAGGAAATGGACAAATTCTTAGAAAAGCACAATGTTCTGAGACTGAACTAGGAAGAAATAGAAAATATAAACAGACAAATCACAAGCACTGAAATTGAGACTGTGATTAAAAATCTTCCAAAAAATAAAAGCTCAGGACCAGATGACTTCACAGGAAAATTCTATCAAACATTTAGAGAAGAGGTAACACCTATCCTTCTCAAACTCTTCCAAAATATAGCAGAGGGAAGAACACTCCCAAGCTCATTCTATGTGGCCACCATTATCCTGACACCAAAACAAGACAAAGAAGGAAAACTACAGGCCAATCTCACTGATGAACACAGATGCAAAAGTCCTCAACAAAATACTAGCAAACAGAATCCAACAGCACATTAAACGGATCATACACCGTGATCAAGTGGGGTTTATCCCAGGAATCCAAGGATTCTTCAATATACGCAAATCAATCAATGTGATAAACCATATTAACAAATTGAAGGAGAAAAACCATATGATCATCTCAATAGATGCATAAAATGCTTTCGACAAAATTCAACACCCACTTATGATAAAAAAGAACCTCCAGAAAGTAGGCATAGAGGGAACCTACCTGAACATAATAAAGGCCATATATGACAAACCCACAGCCAATATCATTCTCAATGGTGAAAAACTGAAAACTTTTTCTCTGAGAGCAGGAACAAGACAAGGTTTTCCACTTACTCAACATAGTTTTGGAAGTTTTAGCCACAGCAATCAGAGAAGAAAAAGAAATAAAAGGAATCCAAATCGGACAACAAGAAGTAAAGCTGTCACTGTTTGCGGATGACTTGATACTATACATAGAGAATCCTAAAGATGCTACCAGAAAACTACTAGAGCTTATCAATAAATTTGGTAAAGTAGCAGGATACAAAGTTAATGCACAGAAATCTCTTGCATTCCTATACACTTATGATAAAAAATCTGAAAGAGAAATTAAGGAAACGGTCCCATTTACCACTGCAACAAAAAGAATAAAATACCTAGGAATAAACCTACCTAAGGAGACAAAAGGCCTGTATGCAGAAAACTATAAGACCCTGATGAAAGAAATTAAAGATGATACAAATAGATGGAGAGATATACCATGTTCTTGGATTGGAAGAATCAACATTGTGAAAATGACTATACTACCCAAAGCTATCTACAGATTCAATGCAATCCTTATAAAACTAACAATGGCATTTTTCACAGAATGAGAACCAAAAACTTCACACTTTGTATGGAAACACAAAAGACCCCGAATAGCCAAAGCAATCTTGAGAGAAAAAAAAAATGGAGCTGGAGAAATCAGGCTCCCGGACTTCAGACTATACTACAAAGCTACAGTAATCAAGACAGTATGGTACTGGCACAAAAACAGAAATATAGGTCAATAGAACAGGATAGAAAGCCCAGAGTTAAACCCACGCACATGTGGTCACCTTATTTTTGATAAAAGAGGCAAGAATATACAATGGAGAAAAGACAGCCTCTTCAATAAGTGGTGCTGGGATAACTGGACAGCTACATGTAAAACAATGAAATTAGAACACTCCCTAACACCATACACAAAAATAAACTCAAAATGGATTAAAGCCCTACATGTAAGGTCAGACACTATAAAACTCTTAGAGGAAAACATAGGCATAACACTCTATCACATAAATCACAGCAAGATCCTTTTTGACCTACCTCTTAGAGAAATGGAATTAAAAAGAAAGATAAACAAATGGCACCTAATGAAACTTAAAAGGTTTTTCACAAAAAAGGAAAACATAAACAAGATGAAAATCAAACCTCAGAATGGGAGAAAATATTTTCAAATGAAGCAACTGACAAAGGATTAATCTCCAAAATTTACAAGCATCTCATGCAGCTCAATATCAGAAAAACAAACAACCCAATCCAAAAACAGGCAGAAGACCTAAATAGACATTTCTCCAAAGAAGATATACAGATTGCCAACAAACACATGAAAGATTGCTCAATATCACTAATCATTAGAGAAATGCAAATCAAAGCTACAATGAGGTATCACCTCACACCAGTCAGAATGGCCATCATCAAAAAATCTACAAACAATAAATGCTGGAGAGGGTGTGGGGAAAAGAAAACATTTGTGCACTGTTGGTGGGAATATAAATTGATACAGCCACTATGGAGAACAGTATGGAAGTTCCTTAAAAAACTAAAAGTAGAACTACCATACGACCCAGTAATCCCACTGCTGGGCATATACCCTGAGAAAACCATAATTCAAAAAGAGTCATGTACCACAATGTTCATTGCAGCTCTATTTACAATAGCCAGGACATGGAAGCAATCTAAGTGTCCATCAACAGATGAATGGGTAAAGAAGATGTGGCACATAAATACAATGGAATATTACTCAGCCGTAAAAAGAAATTAAGTTGAGTTATTTGTAGTGAGGTGGATGCACCTAGAGTCTGTCACACAGAGTGAAGTAAGTCAGAAAGAGAAAAACAAATACCATATGCTAACACATATACACGGAATTTTAAAAAATGGTTCTGAAGAACCTAGGGGCAGAACAGGAATAAAGATATAGACATAGAGAATGGACTTCAGGGCACGGGGAAGGGGAAGGGGAAGCTGGGACAAAGTGAGAGAGTGGCATGGACTTATATACACTACCAAATGTAAAATAGATAGCTAGTGGGAAGCAGCCGCATAGCACAGGGAGATCAGCTCGGTGCTTTGTGACCACCTAGAGGAGTGGGATAGGAAGTGTGAGAGGGAGACGCAAGGCAGAGGAGATATGGGGATATATGTATATAAATAGCTGATTCACTTTGTTATAAAGCAGAAACTAAGAGACCATTGTACAACAATTATGCTACAATAAAAATGTTAAAAAACATCTACAAACAATAAATGCTGGAGAGGATGTGGAGAAAAGGGAACCCTCTTGCACTGTTGGTGGGAATGTAAATTGATATAGCTACTATGGAAAACAGTATGGAGGTTCCTTAAAAAACTAAAAATAGAACTACCATATGACCTAGCAATCCCACTAGTAGGCATATACCCTGAGAAAACCATAATTCAAAAAGAGACATGTACCACAATGTTCATCACATCTGTTCATAAAAAGCTCTCTCGTCAACTCTCTACACCAGGGTGTATGTGTTGTTTTTTGCTGTCATCAAGCTGTCTGTTCATTCATGCCTGATACATGCTTTCATTCAGAGAGTTGCTTAAGGACTAGCCACAATGCTAATAACTGCTCTTGGGGAGCTTCGAGCCTGGCATTAAAGCTCACTAGACAAGCACAAACATGAGATTAATGCTTTTTATATTTTAAAAGCAGTATTTGCTTGCTTTTCCTACATCCTCTTCCAGGAGGGTTGCTTTGTCTGGGAGACTTGCCCCAGGGTTGAAACACCACAGCAGCAGCGAATCTGGTGGACAGAACCTCTTCTCCAAGAGAAGATGCAGCCCCAGCTCTGATGCTGTGAGTTGCATCTCAAGGGCAGCTTGGACAGCTGTCATGGCCAGCTCATCTCTCATCTTTTCTGACCTCTTCTGACCTCATTTCATCCATAAGTAATGTCTGAAGTTTCATGCAGTGGACGATGCTCTGGCTTTGATAATGTAATTATTAGGGTCCCGCAGTCGACCAGTTGGCCAGATGAGCATGGAGAGCATCTCTCCCAGATGCCCTCGGCGCCTGACAGATGGCTGTGTCAATTGTGTTTAAAGACACTGTGTCCTCCTGTTCCCTTTCAGGTTCTTTTAAAGCTGTACCGGCCAAGCTGAGTGAGAGAGAAGGTGTAAACATCACGGTTGAAATGAAACTCGAAAACCACTGAGAAAAGAAATGGGGAAGATATTTTGAAAGGACACGATGCAGACTGGCGATAGGTATGATTGGGGCATTGTCTGTGAAACTGGTCCCAGCAATACGCTTTTCCATTCATTCTAGTCCTTTTACCTTGAGTCCAGGATCCCATTCTCCCATCCAGCTCTTGATTTTTTAAAAAAACCCTCAAGATGGACACAACTCTTAGATTTTAGTTGCCACTTGCCCCTCGGCAGGGTGTCTTGGTGCAGTGCCCAACCTACCCACTGTCCCTGTCAGCTGTGTTCACCTAGTGCTTCTTTAGTAACATCAGCAGAAGGCAATGGATCTCTTATAGCATCAGGAGCTCACTACCTCCAAAAAGCCCAGGCCTGGACAGTCACTCCCTGAAGCACGTTTACCATGTAACCACATAGACCTGCTGTGTGTGCATCGCTTGGAAATCTGGGAAATCAGCATTCTAGGTCACTACCTAAAAACTTAGTTTATACTTAGTTTATTTCTACAAAGAGGTGGGCACTCATTTCAATAAAGCCCCAGAGCATAGCTTTTTTATTGTTTACGATAAATTGATCACTTTCCTTCTCTCAAAATAAAAAAATTAAAATAAATTTTATAATCTAGCAACTATTTTAAACAAACACAATGCTTTTTTACAATCTGGATGGGGAGGAGGGCGTTACACTCCAGTTTTGTCACGCATTTTGATTCATTCATTTGGGAAAACATCATAAATGTGTGTTCTCTTCAAAGTTCTATTTAGATGCCATCAGAGGTAACGAAGGGGATAAGGCATGGCTGCTGTCTGTGTTCACAAAGCTCAAGGTGTAAGAGGGAAGACCAATAAGATTTTTTTCATGTATCTTATTAGACCCTTATGCGCTGAGTGCATTTTACCTGGAAAGGAGCCTGGGCTTCCGAGCAAGTTACCTTGGAACTGCAAGATAACTGTAAGATCATCCTGGAGGGGCAGGGGGACAATGTGGTTACTGGCAAAAATTTTGAGCTGAAGCTCAATTCTGCTCCTCTAAGTTTCTCAATAGTGTCTCTTGAATCCAGCCTTTTTTCTTCAGCTAACTATTGTCATCACAGTCTGGAGAACTGCACAGACGTCCTAAACAGTCTCTTCTAGAGGGGCCACGTCCCTTCCTTACAACTATCATTTATCATAGAAGGGACGTCAGATTGTGTCACCCTTCCCCTTTGCCACAAGCTTTCTGTTGGCTTTCTGTTGCCTGTAGTGTAAATTCTGAATGCCGTAGCTCAGCATAAGAGGCCATGACGGGCTTCCCTGGTGGCGCAGTGGTTGAGAGCCCGCCTGCTGATGCAGGGGACACGGGTTCGTGCCCCGGTCCGGGAAGATCCCACATGCCGCGGAGCAGCTGGGCCTGTGAGCCATGGCCGCTGAGCCTCCGCGTCCGGAACCTGTGCTCCGCAACGGGAGAGGCCACAACAGTGAGAGGCCTGCGTACCGCAAAAAAAAAAAAAAAAGAGGCCTTGTAGAGGCTGCTTCAAACCCTAATCTTATTGCCCGTCATTCTGCCCCCCAACCGTGGCCTTCCACTGAATACAGCTTAAGCTCTTGCCATGCTGACGTCCTGATCACTCCCCAAAGCTCTGCTCATCCATGACTCCAGGCCTCAACACATGCTTCTCCATCATGTCTGTCCAGCTGGTATGTTTCTCCTCATGCCTTAAAGGTGCAGAACTCAGATGTAATCTTGCCCCATGTGGTCTGGCAGACAGAGCCATTCCCTCCTGGGAGAACCCACAGCACTGCTTCATTCCTTTAAAAGATGATATTATTGGTTTTCTGCTTGCACTTGTCTTCTCCACTAGACTATGAGTTCCTTGAGGGGAGGGGTTTTGTTATATCCTAGGGACCTAGCGAGGTCCCTGGCATAGAGTGGCATGTTGACAAATGCTCCTTGAATGAACAGGTACATGAAAGAGAAATTGCACCTGCTCCAAGGTCTTATGTCATCAATACCCCCTTTTATTCATTGTTTAAAAGAGCTCAATGACAAAGTCATTCCATGGACGTTTCCAGAATGAGTATGTGACCACCTCTGGCACACACCTCATTCAATATCAGGTTTCTGATGCTTTGAATGTAGCTACAAAAAGCCAAGTTCAGTATACAAGCAGATTACTTCTTAAGCCCAGAACCTCTGTCCCTGCTTTCTCTCAGCTCCCCCATCATTAGCATCTGGGTCAGGTCTCTCTGTACGGAGCCGCTGACAGTCTTTATTTTCCCTATCTCTTTTTTCCCCCTGGCTTCGAAGAAGTACAGCAGTGCTGTTTGGATGATTGTGGCTCTGTGATGCCAAGATATTTTAGAACAATGTTATGGTGCCTGGTCACACCTACTACCACTGAGACAAGCCCAGAAGTTAAATTATGAAGCAAATGTAAGCTTTGAAGAAATTTTTATTTAATCTGTATTCCCCTGTTTCATCTGCACATCCATCCAACACAATCTGCATCATTATTAGCCACATCAACTTGCTAAAAAAAAAAGAGAGAGTAAAAAGTAAGACATCTGTGTTACAGCATTAATATATTCAAAGGTTTTTACTTTCATCTTGCAGGCATTAACATTGTGTAAATGCAATGTAAGTGCAAATTACAACAGCACTAAGTTAGCAGAAGGAAAATGTACTCGGGAGCCTAGCCAAAGAAGGGAGCCAACAAAAGAGAAGAAAAAAAGAAAAAAAGGTATGTTTGTGTGGAGGGGACAAGCAGGTTAGGAATTATGTAAAAAGCAGAATTTTACCTAGAAATAGAGTCTTTTGCCTGTTGCTCTCACAGAGCTTCCTTTCTAATTGCTAACACAATTTCTAAGGCACTGAGGCAACCCTCAAGCAGTGTGCGGAAGGTGTGTTTGTGCTCCTATGCCCTCTGGCCTGGCTGCCAGCCTATTCCCTTAGATCAGAGCCAGCAGGCAGACTGTTTTCGAATACCGATCACTTCACCCGGACCTAATCCTTTGAGTTCTCTTTGGCATCCATTCCTTCTGCCAGTTTCCTCTTCTGTTCCTCTCTTTTCTTCTGAAGTTGACAACAAAGACATCCTCAGGGCCCTCCTTGATGTAAGACCACTCTTGATGTTATTACAGTGTGGTTTTTTTTGTACCCTAAAGTTGTGCTACTTTTATATTCAGCTAGCACAATATTTGCACACCAGAAGATAAAGAACATGTGAATAAGTTATCCAGAGTGATCGTTTCTTTTTAATTTGTACCCCTCCGTGTTTTTTTGATGTAAACCCTTTCCTTTCCCTGTCACTAATCTCCATACCTGATCAAGAACCCGAAGGTCTCTCTTTAGAGACGATGTTACTTCTATACCTTAAATTGGCCTGACCTGCCACTTTTAATTTCAAAACTATGGCTGTATGAGATATGGATGAATATGGAATTTCTATGAAGCGCAAAACTTTTGAACAGTTCCTGTCCTCTGTGATAGTGAGTTTTGAAAGAGAAATCTCCAAAGAGCTAATTAGTAGACAAGTAGAGCTCAGCCTGAACAAAGCTGAAAAGATAGCAGGTAACTAAAAGGACCTGGCCATAGCTGACAAAAATCAAAGCCCTGACAGAGAGCTGGCAGTAACCTTGGGCTGCTAACTGACAGAGACAATAAAAAAAAAAAAAAACCCTCTGAACCTGGCAGAGTGACAGCCCCACTAGAGATTCTCCAAAGAGCACAGGATCTCCACTGCAAGGAAGTGGTAATCTTCCAGCAGGCAAATCCAAAGGCTTTTACTGCCCATCTCAAGTCTAAAAGATGTGAACTGGTTCTGCTCCGACCATCCCTTATGGAGGAGAGAGAGAGAGAGAGAGAGAGAGAGAGAGAGAGAGAGGAGAGAGCTGAGGCCCAGGAGTTTTTTGAAGTTACTTGAAAAGTTCCATGCTGACCGTGAACTCGAGGATGGAGTCGTGGGAAGGAAGACTGTGCAGCAGCCCGAGGTGGAGAAGAAGCCTGACTGTTCCTGGGGGTTCAGGCGGATGGCAGAGAGGAAGAGCCGGGAGCAAGTGTCGGTTGGCAAAAGCCAGTGCAGGCCAGGACTTAACGAGCCCAGCGACCTACAAAATATGGTTGGAAATAAAAGGGATTGCCGTTGAAAGAAACCTGAGGCATGACAGGGAAGAAAGAAAGTGGGAGTCAAGGAAAAGAGTCACAGCAAGGGCGAGAGTCGTTCCTTCTTAGAACACAGACTTTATAAGAAGGGTGTGGAGCAGAGAGCTGCATTTTCAAAGTCCTAGAAGCAAGAGAAAACACACAAATAATGACCTTCTTTCTTTAAATTATTTTTTATTGGAGTATAGTTGCTTTACAATTAAAGAAGGTTTTTAAAAGATCATTATTTTTGACACAACATTGTAAAAATAATGATATTTTAAAAACCCTCTTGAATTCTCTAAGAAGAGAGAGCGAGCTCTGACGGTTTGGTTAGGTTTAGGCACTCATGGGCCCTCTTCTAAAATTCCGAGGGTGCAAAGGGAGGTAAGAAAGGATGCTTCGTTAACTGAGAGACCTGAAAGTGTCTTTCTGTAAGCACGAGATTCCGTGGTGTGATTCTGGGCATACAAATAATTCTATTTAGGAAAGAAGCCAAGCTCTAACCAAGTGCTATAACTACGAGGAGGGAGAAAACTTGAAAGCAAGCAGTTAAAAAGCATTCTGCTTTGAAACCCAAACGCTAATAACATACATTAGGTGGTTTTCATTATCCCTAAAGAAGGTCTTAGTTCCAGACAAGTACTTCTGCTTCTACATTTATTCCTCCCCAAGATACTGAATTCTGAATCCTTACAGACATTGCAGCCCTTGAAGACACGGCCAGTGTTTGCAGACCCCAGGGACATCATCTCAGAGGCAAATAAGCAGGACCAGGTGAAAGCTTTAAAAGGATAAACCCAAGGGATGGTTTAAAAAGAAAGGCATATAAATATGCTTACAGTCAGGGAAAAATGCATCTCAGGTTTCTTGCTCAGACTCCAGTGTCTGTAATCATATACCTCAAAATGTGTATCATATTGATATAATTATATTTTTATGGTAAATATGATTATATGTGTCATTTATCTTAAGAGTGTCATCGACTCCTCCCTGCACGGCAACCCTATTTCCACGAAGAACACGTTTGACGAGTTAAAAAGCTTGGCTTAACTCAGAATGAATCTGATCTCAGACATCTGTCGGAATCTGAGCAGGAATGACAAATAATTGAGAAAGGTCTCCCTGAGTCAAGCAAATATCTGAAGACTTGGATCATGGAAAATCTGCCCTGTATTAAACTTGGAGTAAAGGGAAAATTTTCTCTTTTAATTTGGGCTTGAGATTCTTCATCCAGTTTGAAAAACATAAATGTATATCAGAACACTGTTTTATTAAAAATATATCTGCTCATAGTTAGAGCTGAGAATATAATCTAAAGCAAGTTTTTAAAAACAATTATTGTTTTTAAAAAAAGCAAGTAACTTAGAAGCTATTATAAGGCACAGCCTAGCAAACTTTGGGGTTTGGGTTCTCCTTAACTAACATCTGTAAGAAAAACTAAGGGTTCTCTCTTTCATATTTAATAATTCAGGCATGGTGAAACATGTAATGAGTTATTTTCTCTAGGAATGGAAATAGATTTTTGGTGAGCCATTGGTGGGGCTAAGTCAAACATCCTCATCCCAGGGGCTTCCCTGGTGGTGCAGTGGTTGAGAGTCCGCCTGCCGATGCAGGGGACGCGGGTTCGTGCCCCGGTCCGGGAAGATCCCACATGCCGCGGAGCGGCTGGGCCCGTGAGCCATGGCCGCTGAACCTGCGCGTCCGGAGCCTGTGCTCCTCAACGGGAGAGGCCACAGCAGTGAGAGGCCCGCGTACCGCAAAAAAACAAAAACAAAAACAAAAACGCAAAAGAAACATCGTCATCCCAGACCACTAGCACATATTTGGGGTGCCTGCAGGATTCAGAGTAATAATAGGGAGAATCTAGAAGGGTTTTGGCCCCCTGCTATACAGATGAGGTTCCCAAGGCCCAGAAAGGTTGGGAAACTTAAGCCGTGTGTTAAGCTGCACAGTGGCTAAGCCAGAAGTAGAGTGCAGGCCCGATTCTCTCCACCAGACCTTTCATCATTAAGAGACACATGAATCACACTGGTTTAGTCCTGTCTAGCTCATTGGTCTGCTTTAGTGTAAATCAATTACTGCTTTTTTTGTTTGTTTGTTTTGTTAGGGGTAAAAATAAACCTTCCAAAAATAAAGGCCTTAATGACCATCTCTAAGCTGTGTATCTTACTGCTGAAATCCCCCGCCCCCGACCCCGACCCCTTTCTCCCCTGAAAGTACCCTCTCTGGCTCTCTTAGTCAGCTTGGGCTGCTATAACAAAATGCTATAGACTGGTTGGATTAAACAACAGATCTTTATTTCTCGGTCTGGGGTCTGGAAGTTCTCCAGCACAGGGTGCCAGCGTGGTTGGGTTCTTGGTGGGGGGACCCTCCTCCTGGCTGCTGTCTTGCTGTATCCTCACATGGCAGACAGAGAGCAAGCTCTCTGATCTCTTCTTATAAGGACACTCATTCCATCCTGAGGGTTCTTCCCTCATGACCTCATGTAATGCTAATCACCTCCCAAAGGCCCCACTTCCAAATACCATCACACTGCACGTTAGGGTTTTAACATGAATTTGGGGGAAGGACACGCATTCAGTTCATAACACTTGCCATCGTTTGTAGTTCTCGTTTTCATTTACCTTCCTAAGACATATCAGTTTGAGAAAACACAAGTATGATTTTGGTTTTTCCCCTCTAGCATCTATAGTGGTTTCTGGCATACAGATACAATGATAGCAGGCATGCAGAAGGTGTTCAATTATATTTTTTTGAATACGTGGATGAACCAGTTTTCAGTTCTTGGTTGAAAATCAGACAATAACTCTCCACACAGATCTTAGAACTATGAACATGATCCTAATGGGCTCACTGCTCCTCTCTCAATTTTCCTGGTGGTTATGCCTTCCTGATTACCCATCTATGACTTATTGATTGAAACCTCTCCTACAATGGATTGATTGACACAAATGCTGAAAATCCTTCCTGTACTTAGTGATTTTTTCCTTTGTGGTTCCCTGTGACAAAACCTTGACGTATGTCATAGCAAAATGGAAGAGAGAGTTGGAAACACACGGTCATGTTGACACAGATTATTTATGCTTCATTTACATAATGTCTGACAGACTGCCTTTTTTTTTCCGCTCTGAATTTCTTCAATGGGAACTCTTTAATGAATTCTTCAGATTCTTCAATGACTTTGAATAGATGCTTCCCAGTCGTTTTTTAGCCATCCAACTCAGCATTTTTTAACAGACTATGGCAGCACCCATGTACATTGCTATCAACATAATATACAAATACTACATTTTCCCAGTCTTCATACATTTTCTCTTTCTTTCTTCCTTTCTTTCTTTCTCTCTCTTTCCTCCCTCCCTCCTTCCTTCCTTCCTTCCATCTCAATATATCATTTGAAAGTATGGAAAAATCATGTTTGAGATCTTCTAAATACATTCGTTAATGTGATTTTCTTTTCTTCCTTTTTAAAGATTTACTTAAGTCCATGTATTTCAGTGTAGGCTACATTATACCAATCACTAAATTGCATTTAGAGATTTCTTCCAAGCTAAAATTTCCTACGTTGCTTAGATTGGAGTAAGGATTCTTGATGGGAAAT